GTTTGGGGGGCAGTAAATTACACAAAGGATACGACATTAAATGTGAAAGAAGCTTGAAACAAATCCGTAAAGGATCCAACTGCAATTTAAACTTGTTTATCGGCAATCTTAGCAGTCGCAACTAGTTCTGAGAAGTTCACGCTATGAGGAACTTCACATTTGGAATACAAGGCCTGTCAAACCAAGTTTGTTATGTTGGATCGATAATATAATTATATAATATAATTATATAATATAATTAGAGCTCAATTGTTACTTGATTAACTGCAAAGATCACTTCTGAAAAACGGATAAATATCAAACATTTTCTGTATATATGAGTACACAGACAAGCACAAGGAAAGCCTTGTCTGTGGGATGGATCTGCTCAAGACTCCCTGAGCACATAAGCATTATCAACTGCTTCAGTTTTAGGACCAACGCTATACTTCGACTGCCTCAGGGCTGAGTGCACTGCGTGTGATCTGTACAAGCTTTAGAGACACCAGAGACTTTTGTCCAGCACATGATGGAGTCTCCGTCAGACTGGAGAAATGTCCGCCAGCTCATCATAGGCGTTCAGAAAAATCTGAGTAAAGACGAAGAGTGCCCAACTGACGTTGTCAGTTTAGTTCTCACCTCACACACACACACACACACACACATTCGTACACATATAAGTGTGCAAGTTTTAACATGTCGGTTTGACTTTTCTAAGACTTTTGATGGGTAAAGAAAAACTGACATTCTGAATATCTCTCAAATGAATTCTCTCGACTTGAGCATTCTTACTTGCCGAAGCCAAAAAAATAAAAAAAAATAAAGTTTTTATTGCTGCTGTTGGCTGTCTGCTGTTGCCATTTTTGTATAGTTTTTTCTTTGACCAGTTCACAGCTCTGCAATTACATATGTGGCTGACAGCCGATGACGGCGTGCCAACTGCCATTGACACATCACCAAATGAACCATAAACTCTTCCCAGTTTGCTGTAGGTGGTGTGCGTGTGTGTGCGTGTGTGTGTCTGCTTGTCATCAAGTGCAGCCAGCTGTCATATCTTACACACATTGTCACGCAACTGGCAAACACCCTGCACCCTTTGGCAGCGGTTAAACAGCTAAACTGCTAAAAATAGTCACAAAATCGAAACAAGCTACGCACTTTTACCACACCCTGTCTTGGTGTCTACCCCATTCCCCCCTCTCTCTCTCCCTCTCTCTCTCTCTCCGTCTGTCGCTTTCTCTCTTTATTTCTTTGTCGCTGTCTCCCTCTCGTTTCAGCTGACTGCTCCAGCTCTTGTCTCATGTCGCATTTGATCGATTTTTGCGTAAGCACTTTTCCGTAATATTTAAACAGGTAACACGTCCCAAAGACCCCATAGGCTCATAGATATATATATATATATATATATATATATATGTGTATATGTATTCGAGACCATAGCATTAACACCCCCACCGCCACCCACCTTGCCGCTTTTGTCAGTTGTCGTAATAATGTTATGTGACGCTGCTTGCCCTGCACTTTCCCGCCCCTTCCATCTTTCTGTCCGTTCCATTGGCGACCGTCCTTGAACGCTATTCTTTATATTGATTTCGGTTTTAAGTTAATTAAAAAGCGCAGGTTGCGAAATAAAAGTCAGCCATTAAACCAAATGACCCAAGCAAAATGGAGCCCCTACCGAACCGCTCACCCCAACCCTGTAGCCTCAAATTAAGCTAATAAAAACCAAGAAAGAAAGCGAGCTGCTATCTTAGCACAGAAGATTAAACACTCTTCTGCAAACTGAAGTTCACCTTTCTCTCTCTCTCTCTCTCTCTCTCTCACTCTTCCCATCCCCCTCTCTCTTTCTCATCTGAAAATGTATATATTAATTAAGCGACTCAATTGGAAACTGTCATAATTGAATGAGCTGGCAATTGGCGTGCGAGAACTGAGGCGAACTCTCATAAAAGTGATTTGATATGGGAAATGCTAGATAAATGCCTAAAAATACATATCATATATATCTTGCTACTGTTTATCTTTGATTAACTTGTTGTCACAAGATAATTGGTGATTGTTCTTACTTTAATTGGACATAACATTTTACTGTCCTTACTTCATTTGATCGATAATTCCGATTGATATAAAACAAAAACTATAGCATTTAAGTTAGGTATGCATAGAACTATCATATAACCTATTATTGACCAACTGCTGCATTTTTCACAAAACTTAAATATTTATAAATTTAATTTTCCATATATTTGTATAAATGTATGTATATATATATATATATATATATATATGTGTATGTATGTTCGCTTAAACCATTTCATTCATTGGCCTTTTTCAATTGCATTTGCATTTTTGTTTATTCAACCCGTGCACAACGCAAAATCAATTAAAAAACTGCCTCCGCCAACAGCATCCACGTGTGTCCTGTGCTATTTGCAGTGGACAAATATCACCATTTTTTTCCGAAAAATAAAAGGAAGAATAGAGCTGCAGGTAAACAGTGTCAAGAGAGCAGCTGAGGGGGCCAAAAAAGCTCATCGAAAATTGTGCAACTGCGCCTATTGCTATCGTGACTGGGGCACAGCAGCCACGCCTAATCCTATCACCATCATCTATCCACCCAAACCTGAACAGACACAGTCAATGTCTGCGTAAATCAAATACTAGCTAATAACACAACACACACAGAAACCACACATGCAAATAGTTTTATTGTGCAACTGTTGATCTGTTTACGCAGTTGTTCTTATTGTAATTGCAATATAATGCAATCAACATGGATACATTTAGTATATATAGATATATGTATATATATATATATATCTATATATGTGTGTGTGTGTTTGCCCTGTGTATTTGCCCTGTGCTTGTGCATTGTTTTTAACAATTTTAATTAAATTGCATACTTTGAGGCGCCATTTGTTTAAATCGAATTACAAACGACATTTCAAATTGAGTTTGCCCCCAGCTGTGCGTCGCGACGTGAGCCAACTGTGTCTTGCCTCCGCTTTCTCTCTCTCTTGCTCTCTCTCTCTCTCTCTCTCTCTCTCTCTCTCTCTCTCTATCTTTCTGTCGCTATCAGCCTCGTCTGCCGTGGCAATCTTCTGGGCATTGGGACACAGCGATTAACTTGCACCCAGCGGCGTTGCAATTAAATTCACACAGCTAACACCACTCGCCATGCATCCGTTTAAATGTGTGTATGGCACAGGGATGGCAATTAAGTGAGAGCTGCGCGAACTGAATACTAATATTGCATTCAATCCACTTCATTACGATCTATTAGCTGCTGTTTAGACTAATAAGCAGCTAATGCTCTTTGTTACTGTACACTCCTCTCTACGAACTCGACTTGAACTCTTAAACGTGATGCAATGTGATAATTCTTGAAAAACTCCAGAATAGCACAAGAAACACAAGACGACACTTTGACCAATCCAACAACGTGACCCATAATCTGCTGGAAAACAGTAGACTAAAGAGATTTAAGATATTAAATCCGTTTGAACTTCCAATCCAATAAATCCACATATCAATGTATAGCTATAGACACCCTCCAAACTTTAATGAATGTTCCTTGGGTGTTTCCTATCCGATCTTGCTGACATTTGGCCAGCTGATCAATAATTTGTCAAGGTATTTGACACATCAATATCATTTCGGAAATCGAAATGTTTCAAATTAGACTCGGCTATTCATCGTGATCAAGAATATACACACTTTATGGGGTCGGCGATGCTTTCCTCCGTCTGTTGCATACTTTTGCACAAAATCGTTATACCCTTCGAACCAATATTTCAGGGAATAAGAAAAAAAAAACCAACAAGAAAAAATGTGATCTAGTCAAGTTCGGTTTGCTGAATAAATAAATTATTTTATATGTGTGGTGCTTAGTCATAGCTCAAATAAATAAATACAAATTTATCTGAGAATTTTTTTATAATTTTGTTAACAAGATACATTTGGCAAAGATACATTTCTTCAGCACACATCCTAACTAAACTTGGCCAACCTGAACTACATTTTTAATCAGAGTTGAAATAAGTTAATTTAGCTGTTCGTTTCTATATATATATATGTTTGTTCTTTTATATATATAATTAGATTAGTATAGAAATGTAATTATGATTTATAGATATGAGATATTGTGGCAGTATTTTGTCGGGCAGTATTTAGTGGCAATCAGTCATCATATACCATGGACAGCACTCAAGATAATTGTGTAGAAGGCAGAAAACTGTGTCAGTTGTTGGAGGCAAGTGAAAATGAGCAAGAAAACGGCCAGCTACATGCAGCGGCAAATTAAAAATGAATAATGAACAGTAAATGGTAAACGAAGGCACAAAAAAAAAAATAAGAACAAAAAATAAGCAACAAGCCAAGACCAAACCAAAAACCATGGCTGGTCATTGACTATGAAAACTGGCCACTGACGTGCCTTGAAGATGGTTGGGCGAGCAATGAATGGATATGCTTGGCATGGGTGGGTGGGGGGGCAGTAGGGGGTAGCACCTGACAGTGGGCAGCTAATTAAACGGCATGTCGGCAGCCAGCAAAGTGTGAAAATGGCCAGCTCACAGTGGGTGAGGATTGGCTAGAAGTGAATGTGAATTTGAATTGGAATTGGATTGAAAATTGCAATTGCAATTGCGATTGCAATTGGAATCGGATTAGATTGTATTCGATTGGATCGGCACGCGACGTCATTTACTCATGTGTAACTCCATGCCATACCATATAGCTGCCTCCCCACTTGCCCCATCGCTCCAGCTGCGCATTTGCATGTGCAAACTTTCTATGAGAGCAATGCGAATAATTTATGCTGATGAGCTAGACAAAGTTTTTTATTTGCTTTACTTGGCATGGGATGTGGATGTGGGTGTGGATGTCGGTGGAATGGGATGGGATGGAGATTTGTACGCGTAGCTTTGATGATTTCTTTCTCGATGCTGATGGATCGATGTATGCATATACATATATGCATATATATATATGGGATATATATGTGTGCATGTAGCACTTACCCTTAAGCAAATGCTGCAAAATGTTGTCCTTGTGCTCCTCGGAATGCGGCTCGCCCATCACAATGAGCAGATAGCAGCCAGTTAAGGGACTCGGTGGTCCCACAATGCCACCAGCCAAACTGGAGACGCCACCGCCATCTGAGCAGGCCGTATCCAGTGGCGGACGGCCACCAATTTCCGATGGCGGCAATGAGCTGGCGCCAGCATCAGTGGCCGCATCATCGACAGCATCACCGGCGGTATTTTGGCCGGCAACGCCGCCAGCATCGCCACCAGCAATGACGCCTGCATCAGCTGCCACATTGCCAGTGGGCGGTGGCAGTGCTGCTGTCTCCACCACCTGGCCAGCCTGGCCGGGCTCCATGGGATTAGCGGCGTGACCATTGCCGTTGGCATTGCCATTAGAATGGCCGTTGGCTTGAGCGGCGTCTGCCATTACGTCTGCCTCACTAGCTGGGGGTGTAGTTGTTGTAGTCTTAGTTGTTGTTGACGTTGTTGGTGTTGTTGGTGTTGTTGTTGTTGTTGTTGGTTTTGGCCGATCTCCCATCACAGTTGTTGCTGTTTTTGTCACTGTTTTTGTCACACAAAAAAATTCCTAGCCGTACACTTGAAAAAAAACGTAGCACTTAGCGCTTTGCTGCTTACTTGCTGAGTTTTTGAAACTCGGCACAAACACTATCGTTCTCTTTCGCACACTTCGGCTGTATATCTCTCTCTCTCTCTCTCTCTCTCTCTATCTCTCTCTCGTTCTCTCACTGTCTGTCTCTGCCTTTCGCGGCGTTTTGTGCACGTAAAATTTCTTGGAAATTTTGCGGTAAAACGTCCGAAGCTCAATCTTAGCTGCTGTTGCTGTGGCAATTGAGCGGGTGACAGGCGGGGCGTGGCAGTCTTTGCTGCTTCACTTCACACGCCGCACTTCTTCTTCTTTTTTTTTATTAGTTTGGAGTTTTTTCTTGTAGAGCTATTTGTTATTTGTTGTACTTTCTGTTTGCTGGCCGTGACTTCGCCGCTTTTTTATATGAGTTCTTCACTTAGTTTTTTTCTTTGGTTTTTTTTTTAGTCTCTGAATTTTTTACTAAATTGTTTTTTTTCGTTTTTTTATTTGGAATTATGTATTTTTTTTTTTGTTAATTTTCTTGCAATTTTCTTTTCGTTTTGTTGTTTATTGTGCACACTTTGAAGCTGTGTTATTTACTTTTGGTTTTTCTTGAAATTAAATTATGCTGTTTTTTCGTTTTCGAAATTTTTACTTAGTTTTTTTTTTTTTTGTTTTTCTTTGAGTAAATTATGCGGCAATTGGCGTGTTGTTATTTTTGGTTTTTGTTTTTCAATATTATGAATTAAATATAATATTTTATTAGTTTTTATTTTTGTAGATTTGGACTAGCTTTTACTTGTAGCAATGTTTTTTTTTTTTAAATATTTAATTTAGTAATAATTGTCTCTTTGTATTCTTAAGTTTGTGTGTGTGTGTTTGGGTGTGTTATTGTGTGTGTATGAGATTTTAGCCTGAAAATGTATTTTCAGTTTTATACTTGTGAGTTGCGCCTATTTATTCTTATGTAATTTTCTTGATTTTGTTTTATTTTAATTATTTTATTTTTTAATGTATTTTTCGACTTCTTTGGATATAGTAATATTTTCTTTTAGCTTTTATCGTTTGCTAGTTGAATTTCATTAAATCTGTAATAAAAGAGCACACAAAAGAACTTAATTAGATCAAATTGCTTGAGTAAAATTCTGTAAATATTATAATTAGAAAAAAATCGAAATAGTCTTAATGTTCGTCTGTAGTACATACAAAAATCTTAAACATAATAAAATAATATTCAATTCGGGGACAGGTTCTTTCAGGATAAACATATTTCTTCAAGCAAATTCAAATATCTCTTCAAGGATCGATTTCTCCTTTAAGAAAAGTTTGATTTAAATTGTAGAACAACTTCTTAAATTTAACTTTATACAATTTTTATTTATTTACTGTTTGCATTTTTGTGCATTAAGATGGACACAACGCAACTGCAAATCGAACTAATATTTTCAGTTATTATAATATCAGAAACAGAACCAAATCAGAAAACCATACCAGAATTCAAACTGATATTATTTGACCCGAAAAGATCGTATCGGAACCAAAACATCTCCTCAATGATTCCTACAAACCTTTTTACTACACCATCACGTATCAGTATCGCATCTTAAGTACAAAATGGGTATTTTTAATAATAAGGCATCTTTACCGGCATTTTCACACCTTACGTACCAGAATCAGAATAGGAATCGAAACCCTTCGATTTGACACCCTGTTCCGAACACACAAATTCAAACTAGATGCAATGAAAATTATTATTTACATAGACTCGTTGAGTGTTACTTAGAAGAATAGAGATTTTTTCGATATTTTGCAGTTTCGATTCGACTTGTTTTACTCTTTCGCCGATACTTAAATGCATGAGCAACTCTGCCAGAAACACTTTATACCATTTTTTGTAGTTGTAAATCATATTGTACTAGCTACTTTCAACACTTATGTCAATATTAATTCCAATCCCAATCCCAATACCAAGCGGTGGCCGGCACAAGTTCATAGTACCCGGGTCCAGTTCCATCAGCCAGACGAGCCACTATAAAAAGCCATAGACAGGCTCCACATATAAATGCATTGAACTTTGGCCGTTTTGCTGGCAACGACAACAACAACAACATTTGCACATATGCAGTAGCACACACACCCCACACACACAACACACACACACACACACACACACACATGCACACACCCCAAAAAGATGTCGTCATCGCCGCCTGGCAACGACAACCGTCGACGTCATCAGGCACTGGCGTTGCCTGACTGAATGTGAAAACTATAAAAAGCAACAGCAATAAAACAAAAAAACAACAAAAATGAAACTAAAAAAAAAAAAAAAACAACAACCACAACAACAACAACAAGAACAGGCAGAAAAACTCCTTTTGATATTTATGTCGCGCCGTTGTTGTTGTAATCCTGCAATGTGTTCTTGTTGTTGGTGCTGTTGTTGCTGTTGCAGCTGTTGTGGCTTCCTTGCGACTTGGACTTGGTCGCGTGCCTGGTCTACGTGTTCCATGCCACCTGCCCCCCTTACAGCTCTCGTTGCGCTCCGCTGACGCTGCCTTTGAGTTGTTGATTTTGTTGGTGCTGTTTTTTGTTGTTGCTGTTGCTGTTGCTGTTGCTGTAGTTGCTTGCTGTTGCCAGTGTCTCCATTCGATGATTCACCCGAAAAGAGTCGCCGGCAAATGCAGCTACACTTGTCTCATCCCAACATAAATATAGTCATGAGTGCTGGGGCTTTTGAACACTCAGCGCTTCCATCTCCCATCTACCATCTCCCAGCTCCCAGCTCCCGGCTCTTTTCAGTTTTCAATTTTCACTTCTGCGTGCTGTGACGGAGATGCAATGAAATTTGGATTTGCCAGGGCGATATCTCTGTGGGTCTTGGTCTTGTTGGTCTTGGGCACGCCTTGGGATCTGCACGAGTTTTGATTGATGAGTTTTCTTCATTTTCTCTTCTTTTCTTTTATTTTTTTTTGCTATTTTGACTCATATATATATATATATATATATAAGATATACACAGCTAAAAACAGCAGCTGCTAAAGTCAAGAGCAGACGACTATATTTAAGGCAGCCTTAAACTATTTCGATTTGATTGATTAAATCAGCCAACCACGCATGTAAAATACGCATATAACACGAAGGTTTCTATTTAATAGAAGTAATTTGTAAATATTAGGAAAACAGTTTCTAAAATGTGTCGAGTTTAACTACTATTTAGAAATATTTTATGATGGGCGAGGTTTTATATTGGTGAGGTCCTTCAAAGATCGGCATATGCCACGCCCACTTCTGCCCCTCCAAGCTATATCTTCAGCATATTTTGAGCCGTCAAGTTTACTAGTAGTAATCGATACCAAATTGTTATGGCCACGCCCGCACCTGCGCCCAGAGACGCTAAAGCCGATATTCCAGAAAGGGTAAATCGATTAAGCCGCATATATCCCACAGTTTGAAAGATAGAGTCATCAAACGTTGAAGGTAACTTGCTGGTAAAGTCCCTCAAAGATCTCCGTATACATCCCACACCCTTCCATAATTTATAAGCTAGAGTCACCAAATTTCAAAGGCATATTGTTAGCAACATCCTTCACAAACAAGAAAATCTAATTTTGACTACACCCATATCTTCCCTAATTTCAGAGCTACAATTACCAAACTTGGAAGGAAGATTACTAGGAAATATTGACCGCAGTTTTAAAGGCAAACTTGCAGAATAGATTACTAGAAACCTCCTTGAAAGATCGGTATTTCTAGACTGCTGCTTGTTCTGAGACACCTGTTATTAGATGGGATGGCTTATTGGTATCAGAGTATTTCGCAGTCGGTTACGCCCTCTTGTTATGTCTTGCCTAGCTCTACTCTAGGCTAGTTTATTATCGATTTTCGAAAAACGATGCAAGTCTGCATGGAATATTTAGAGTACAAATAGTTCTTTGTTTCAGACTGTAATTTTTCATTTGAAAAAAAATCACTCTTAATCTCAGCTCACTTAGGTATCATTGGGGTACCCAATGGAATTATTGTAAGCGTTACATAAAATCGATCTTGGTTTTTTTTAATAGTATTTTCAAGCTAATTATAATTTACTTGCAGCGAAGTCACGCAAAACTGGAGCAGTGCTGGCAATTAGGAATTGGTTGATTGGTTTGCAAATAACAGCGGCAATCACTTGAACAGATCGCACCGACAAAAAAATAAATAAAATATTGAATCAGCAAATCAGCAAAGACGTGCAACGTACGAGTGGCGCTGACAAACTGGAAGTTGGAGCTGAAGTTGCAACTGTAGACGCAATGGAACGGACATGAAGCAAACTTCACAACTGCAGAGGAAGTTGTAGAATCAATAGGTCACACATACAAACTAACACTCTCACACACTCACTCACACACACAGCCAAACACACTCACAGACTATGACTTGAATTTGGATACATGATATCACCGTTGAGGAAGCCACAAAAACCTCCGACCAAGTAGCAACCACAAAAAGAAGTTGCATATACCAATTGGAAGGAGTTGAATTTGAATTTGAATTTGGAGTTGAAGTTGAAGTTGAGCAACTTAACACGAACAAAAAAATTATTTGTCACTTTAATTACAATAGTCAACTAGAACAGGAAAAAAAAAACTAGAAAAAAATGTGAAGTTTTCTTTTACAACTTCGTTTTTTTTTTTTTTGTGTCTTTAATTTACTTTATAGCTGCTGCTGCTGCAGCTGCTGTTGGTATTACTGCGGCTGCTGCTGCTGCTGCTGCTACTGTTGGTGTTGCGAATTCTTCTTCTTCTGCTGCTGCTGTTGCTGCTGCTGTCTCAATGCGTGTGTGATTTTTTCCTTTGATGCAAACGTTTTGAAAGCTCGACGACGACTGAATCTATGGCCGGAACAACTCGCAGCACGAAGTCGCGTCGGCGTT